ACTGGAGATACAACTATGGACCAAACAGGTCCGCTCTCTGCCCTACTGGAGTTTGAAGACTAATGGGGAAACAGCTAGTATAATAGGCAAATACATTCTAGAATGACAGGGGCTCTAAAAAGGGAAGCTCTGGACTCTGGGAGCACATAGTAGGTACTCTTACCTCTAATTTGGGGGATCAGGGGAGGACTCCTAGAGGAAGTGATGTATGAGTTGATATTGAAAAGATGAGTATGAGTTAGTGAGGTGCAGGGATTGGCCGTAGGGCCAGATGGTTACAGGCAGAGGGAAGAGCATGTGATGATGGCCCTCAAATGGAAAGAAGCTGAGTTGAGTATTTCTGTAGTATAGACATGAGGGGGTGCAAGGAATAGGGGCAGTAAGGAGAGAGATGAGAAATCAGGCTAGAAAGATTAGCAGGGACCAGGTTGTGGAGGGTCCAAGGCACCATGTTAGAATTTGATCTTTCTTTCCTAAGGCCAGTGGGAGGTGATGGGAGGGTTTTAAGCAGGGGTGTGACTTGATGCCATTTAACTTTTATAAGGATGACTCTGGCTTCAGTGTGAACCCTAGTCTATAGGTGGCCAAGGCTGGAGCAGGGAACCTGTTAGGAGGAACGCAGGCGGAAGGGTTATTGGTCAGCAGGGTGTGTCTAGAGGCATCTACTGCCTAGGACTGGGGTTGTGGGAGCAGTGAGGAAGGGAAGGGGGAGGAGGGATTGTCTTAGGCAGCCCTGGTGGCAGTTGGTAGAAGGCATGGGAAGAGGAACAGAAGTGTTATTGATGGCTTATATTTGAAGACCTATTCCTGGTTCTAGCAGAGCCTGGCAGTAGTAACTCCTTCTTCTTGTTGGATTCATCAGTTTTAATGACTGGTTCCTGGGAAAGCAGTGGGTCCTATGAAGTGTTGCTGGACCTATTTTTCAGACACACTCTAGGAGTGGCTGTGCCTTCAGCAGGCTGTTGCTTTTCCTGGGGGTGGTAGGTGGAAACCCACAGATCTAGGGGCACAACAGGGAGACGTATCGATGGTTTCAGGCTTTTAAGACTCCAGAGGTTTGTGGTGGAGCAGTAGGTGTTGATGACTTTGCTCTGCATCCTCCTTTCTTGTAACTACTAAGCCATAAGCATTGCTCTTCCTCTTTTCTGATCTCCATATGACTGACCAGCTTCTTCTTTAGGTGTGTTTACTGCAGCTTGCTACACCACTTCTTTGAGCAGACACAAAAGTCATTTCTCTTTCTAACCTAAAGTGCATGCATTCAGTACCTCTGCCTACCCTGTCATGTGTTTGCGAAGGTGGCTGTGTTCTTTTCCAGTCTATTGAGTTTTAAATGTTGAAGTTACTTGTTTGCCCCTTTATTCATTCTAAACCTATGTTAGAGTTTATCATGTGAAGGAAATTAGACCACATGTAGAGAAAATATGAAAGGCAACAGTGACATTATTTATTTATTGCTAAATAATTCTGTTTTACTTTTCTCCCAGTTGTATTGAGATATAATTGACATATAGCACTGTATATGTTTAGGGTGTACAGCATGATGATTTGACCTGCATCATATTACCATGATAAGTTTACTGAACATCCGTCATCTCATATAGGATAAAAAAAAAGTTTTCCTTGTGATGAGAACTCTTAGGATTTACTCTCTTAGCAACTTTCATGTAACACATAGCTGTTTTAATTTTATCAATCAAGTTGTACCTTACATCTCTAGTACTTTTTATCTTCTAACTAGAAGTTTGTTCATTTTAATCACCTTTATCCACTTCCTTCTCCCTCCACTCCTTGCCTCTGGTAATCACAAATTTGATCTCTTTTGTGCATTTGTTGCTTGTTTTTTGAAGTAAAATTGACGT